GATAGATAGATAGATAGATAGATAGATAGATAGATAGATAGATAGATGCATGTCATTCACAGGTGACTATATGAATTCAATTAATATTTACAAAGCAGTTAAAGTAATTTCCCAAATGAGCCCTAAATAAATAGCTGCTAAATTTAATGAATGAATGAATTGTGAATGAGTGACTAAGTAAATGCTTTGGAGAAAACCCAGAATCCAGGCTGCCAGCATATAGCAGTTCACACAGTCTTGAACCCAGGCTCCAGAGTTTTGCACTACAGTGTGTCCTTATGGGGAAGTCAAGGCAGGAACTTAAAATAGCCAAATAGACATTTAGGAAAAGCCTCTCTGGAAATGGTACTGAGGGACTGGAGACTCTAATGAGACTGGCCAAGGCTTGCTGATTGTGAGGCTTCTTCACCATCTCTATTCAATGCATCACCCAACCAACTCCAATGGTGGCTGCACCCCGCCTGCTATCTGCATGTCAGTGAATTTCAGAGCAGAAGCCGTGGAGGGACAAAGGCTGTCGTGTGAGTCTTTAAAGGTAGATGCAGGTCCCTAACACAGATAACGATGTGATAAGATGCCTGGGATGGAACGGACACTCCCAGGCAGCTGCCATGACAATCACAGATGCCTGGCCCTTCAGAGGCTTGCTCATGCTCATGCAGTCCCTGTCCTGAGCTGGCTCTACCGCCACTTCTTCAACAACGTACCACATTCATGGAGATGTCTAGTCGGCATTCCCTCCCTCACACAAAAAGTGATACTGCCCACCCCCACAAAGAGTGATACTGCCTCATTCTCAGAACAAGAATAACCAAACACCCCATCTTGTGAAACCAAAGGCACTTTCAGAAGAGTCCATGCCAAACTGTGCAAAATCTGCTGTCTCTACCAATATGTTCCCCCAACAAACCTACAAATGACAGCTCATAAATTTTCCCACTATTCAGTCCCCATGCAATAACCTCTATACAACTGTAATGCAATCGGCTGAACTCGGCAAAAGCATAGGATGCAATTATTTTTCTCTTTTGTTTCCATTAGATGTCACCAAAGTTAATAAAACATTCCCCACAGATGGTCCCACCAGATACTGAGATAAATCATCCGTAAAATAAAGCTAGCAGAGGGCTGCAAGAAATGCCAGGCTGAAGGAGCCCGCGTGGGACTCAGCTCTTGCTTAACAAGGCATTTTAGGCCGAATCATCCCTCTGGCTCCTGCATCTCCCCGAATGAACAAGACTAAGAACAAGAGTGTAAGCACACCCCAGGCATCAGGGAATGAAATTACAGAGGGACGGCCACGGGAAGTTGGTGACAATGAAGAGACTCAGCCTGACAGGATCCTGACCTGACTATTTGAAACGCAGGTGTGAAAGCAGAGGCGTAGACAAGCTCCTGTGGAGAATGCAAAGGTTCCCTGGGGCTGAAGCAGCCCAGTGTTGCTGAAGTCCCATGCTCTGACCATGGAAAAAGACAGCCTTCCTGTGCCCTTGTGCACTTTGACTCTAAAATGTGTGCCAGCCGGCTGCAGGTCTGAGGCCCCTTCTTTCCTGCACTAGGTAGGTAGAGAGAACCCCAGGTGAAGGTGGCTAGCCTTATCTACACCATCACAGAGCCTGGTTCACTGACTGCACAGCCGCAGACTTGCATGGTCAAGCAGGAACCCCAAACAGCAGCAGCTAGTCATGATTTGGCATGGACACTTGCCTGCTCAGCCTAGACTGATGAAGGAGCGTCAGGACCTGCAGAGCCCCATGCAGCCCTCATACCTGCTCTCCAAAGCCCACACTATCTTCTCACTGCATCCCTGGCGACTAGGGAGTGTCCGGAATGAACAGTCCCACGGGCTGGCTGGCTGCCCAAGACAGTGTGGGCAAGACAAGCCCAGACTCAAAAAGCCAGCACACACAGATCTGGCTGTAGATGGGGGAGAGGGGGTGAACTCTCGGGCAGGCTGTGTGTGTCTCTCTCTGCCTGGTCTGTTCAGCTGGCTCTGCAGCCTGAAACCCTGGCCCATGTTCGAGCTCAGGTCTCCTGCTGTGAGACCTCTGGTTCCCCTGTACTACCTTGGGGCTCATTCCTCTTTTGCATAATGGGGTGCACAGAACCTACTCTGACCATACAGCTGCTGGAGGCCAGCAGGAGTGGAAGGCGCTGGCTGTAGACTGTGACTTGCACAGAAGTATCAAGGCCTCCTGTGCCCTGGAACATCTGGGAACTTGGCTTTGGGTGCCCAACATCACCCTTCCTACTGCATCAACTATAGCATCAGCTGTCTGCACATCTGACAGATGAAGGGGCTGCATGCAGAGTTTCCGTGGCTTGTCAACAGTGTTCGAAAATGGAAGACTCCTGGACCAAAGGCCCAGCGCCTCACCATTAAATGCCATACCAAGAAGCCAAGCAACAGTCACCGAGGCTGGGTTAGAGATCTGGGCAGGTGAAGTCGGGAGGGGACAGGTAACAAGAATGAACATTGTCCTGCCTCCCAATACCCCCCCCACCAAGGACAGCATCTCCTGCAGGAGTGGCCCAGCCAGCCTCAAGTTGGCAAACTGCACCAAAGCAGAAAGCTAGGAGCCAGAGGGAAAACTCACTTGATGCTGTCCGTTTCACACCGCCTGCAGAATCCGCCTTTTTTTGCTGGCTGCTGGGAGCCTTCCCCTTTACAGGAACCCCATTAGATGACACTGGAGGTTTTTTGCTCTTCAACTGTTAAAACACACAGAGAAAATTAAAAATAATCGAACGAGCACCCTTTCCCCTAAAGTTATTTCATTTAGTCTTTGACCCTTAAGTACAACCTACACTGGCTTGGTCAGAGGACAAAGAAAACCAACTTGGGTTCCAGTCACTGGGTGTCTGCAACGTCCCTTTGGCAGGTGGGAAGCTTCCAGCACTGAAGGCCAGATACCCAGGACTACCAGGAGGTCTGCAGTGGGAGGAAAGTTATCTCTCTGCTGGGGCCTACTCTGCTGAGTATTGATAAGAAAGCAGTCCTCAGTGACCACCACATGCAGTAACAGCCTCTGAGAATCTGTGAACCTATATTTCTAGAGCGAAGCTGTTTTTCCATAACTTTTCCTGCTTCTAGGGGAAGGGCCTGGCCCTACAGGGAGGGTTCTTGCCCTTAACCCAGTGATCCAATAATGAGATACATAATCTCCTTTCAGATCAGATGGGTCTGAAGAAGGATGCAAGAGACACGCATACAGAAATAGCATAAACATATAAAAAGTAAGCCTGGAGCAGCTATAGCCATAAAAAAAAAATTCAACAGACCCCCTCCCCCACCCCCGCTCACCTGACTTCTAAAAGCCACAGCTTCATGTCTGGAAGGTGCCCTGCAGGCAGTGAACTTGCTCTAAAGGGAACTTGACACCCTGACGTGTCTTATTCCCCACCTCCACCTCCCACTGCCCGCCTCTCTTATTGGGGGTCTAGTGCAGGACTGCATATAGATCTAGCTGCAGTTCTGGCTTGTTATTTGGGAGACCCCAAGCCCGCCCCTCAAAACTTTCTGAACCTCCAATTTGTATACTTAGAAATGGAAAGACGCTGACACCTCCCACAGGCCCCCAAAATGACACTGCACAGCCATGTAAGAGATGGCTTCCAGGGGCTCTATGGGAGTGTCTGGTCTCACCACCAACAGGCTCCCAGAAGAATGGCCATACAAGGACATGATGTGAAAAGGCACTAGAATTTAGCCTGGGACCGCTTCCTGTTTGAAATAGAAACTAGGGTGAGTAACGCTGCAAACGCCACAGCACACATCACAAGGTGTCCGACTATCGAGGGGACCTCCAGATGCACAGGTGGCAGGCTGATCACGCTACCAGCCAACAGACAAATACACAGGTAGGACACAATGCCCAGATCTGGGCGGGATCCTCGTGAAACTGGGAAAGGCCAATGATGCTTACGCTGGTCGTTCAGCCAGCGGTCCACACCCCTCAGGCTCTCCAGGGATGGCAGCTGAATAATTGTGCCTAACACAGCAAGCTTTTTGTGTCGGTCTGACAAAGCAGTGTCTGGAGATGCAGCTGTGAGCCATCACCACCTGGAAGCCCAGGACTTTGCCTGGTGTCCATTATTTTCTCAAAAGTCCCCAAAGAACAGAGTGGAATGTGGAAAGGCTGGCTTCTTGCTTTAAGTTCTCAGTGTTCTTAAATGAGGTGCCCAGGGCTCCAGGCAGAGTACACACATGCTTAGGTTAAAAATTCATGAAGGCAGTTAGTGTCTGCTCTGAGATGTTGATGCATGCAGCAGAGTGGGCGAGCAAGAGTTCAGCCTCAAGCCTATCTGCCACTCAGAATCAGAGCCCTCCTGTCACACAGGCTCAAGACACATGTCATCCTCTCCTTGACAGCACCCTGAATCTCGGCATGGTGTTAGCCATGTTTACAGATAGGAAATAACCACTCCCTGGGGGCAATCCTTGCTCACTTCTACCCAAGATAGAATATACTAGAGAAACCTGCCATTCCAGAATCTTCTGGAAAGTGGCACGGCCTCTTCGAGTAATCTTTAATGTACTGGAGAATTCTCTAGAAGTGGCGGGAGGGGGCGGGGAGGAAGCCTGACAACCTGGGAGTTGGTCACAAATGTCCCTCGGTGGCTGACTGTGAATTAGGCTATGGCTGAACACAGCATGGCATTTTGGTGGGTGTGAGGTGGCGAGCACACAGTCACCGAGGTCCACTGGGAATGTCGGGAGTTTGGGAACGCCGTCTGTACCTGGGAGTGCAGCCCAAGAGACGCCCTCCCGACAGAAGAGGTGTTAGTGAGAGATGGGGAGCAGGGCGGGCTGCAGGAGGTGGGGGATTTGTAGTGGTTAGAGGACAGCCTGTCAGCGGGTGGCCGAGACGCCCTCCGGTCAGCAGGAGAGGAGCGAGCAAAGATTGTCGGCGATGGCAAGTTATCGTAGAGGCCCGCGTTATCATAGAGCACCTCTTCTGCCAGGCCTCTGCTCCCACAGCCAGGAAAGCCGCCATCCACGTCCCACTGCAACACACACAGCCTGCTCGTTAGTGGCCGGATGAGGACAGAGAAGATCAGCACAGCGAGATGTTAGCAGCCCCCGACACTCTGCATGACCAGTCGCTGACACACACACACACACACACACACACACACACACACATACACACACACACACACGGCAGGCACATCTCCCACAGCTGCACGCTACTTCAGAAAACCCTTTTGCCTTTGGAGTCATAGGAAGGCTTCTCCGCCCTTAAACTGAGTTATTGGATTAGGATGGTTGTGTTCTGTTTTTCAAAAAGAAGAATGCTGAACTGGCATTACCAACGCTAGAGACCTGGAGTTTGGAAGTTCCCTGATGAACAGGAAGTGAGGTCAGGGGAGCTGGGCAGAGCCTGGAGCTCTGCGCTGCACGGGACGGTATGTGAGATCATCACCCAGGGCCATGGCACCTGCTGTGCTCTGGAAACACTGGCTTCCTTCTCACAGAGTCCACTTAGCAAGCGGGGGAAACTAAGGCCTAGTGAGAGACAGAGCTGGACAAAGTTGAGCTCATGACTACACACTGCTGTCAGAAAAGCCTCCGGCTCTGACAGAGGAACTTGACTGGAATCAAGAACACCCTGGGCTTGTCCATGCTGCCCTTGTGGCCAGCAAATTCACCATCAGGGTCAGCACAATCTAAACTCCGTATTAAAGCATCTGAAGAGAATGCCACAGCCCAAAGAGTCTGCTGAAGACAAAAGTCAAGTCATCACACAACACAGGGTATCTCAGCCTTGGATAGGAACAATGGCATTATGCTAGCAGATGACCTGAACAAAGGATTAACAGTTCAAAGCCACGTCGCCACAGGACACAGGGATCCCAGCACACTGGCATAAAGTCATAAATAAATGCCAAACTCCTAACCACTGCTAGATTCCTTTAGGCTTTAAAGGTCTTTGCAAATTGCCCTGCATTGTAAAAGGAAATACTAATCCATATATTCTGCCCATTTCAGTCTGTTCTTTATGTTCTCCTTGGAGCGCTTCTTCCTGCCAGACTATAATTATAGCCCTTTGTTTCGAAAATAGGAAAGGCCTAAAATCCCCGGGTGGGAGCGTCTTCTTCTAAGGCCACATCGGTGTCTATTTTTGTGATGCTGGGGACAAACGAGCAATCATAAAACAACATAGAAAAGCCAGAGTGGAGCATTTCACAGTGACAGCCACCCACATAGACAATGGTCTATACTTGACTCTCACTTTCCTAAAAAAGCAAGGATCAAGTCACGTGGAATGTTTAGTAAACAGTGACAGAAATAGAAGTTTCTAGAATAAAAGTGAGTGTGTGCAGAGCCCTTTCTTTTAAAGGAATATCAAAGAAAGTACAAAATAGACTGAACTTCTAGCATTGGGTCTGGCACTCTGAGCATTAGGTCATAGAGTGTAGACTTTATGGAACCTGGAAATGAAGCCTCCAGAACGCAGTCAAGTGGCAACAGAGGCCTCCACACAGGAAACGGGTTCTGGCAGCCCCGGCAGCGGTACCCCAGAAAACAAAAGGGCAGGACACATGCCTACAGAGCATTACATCTCTGCTCCTGAGGCCCAGAGCTTGCATGTAAGGAGGATTCTTCAGCGCAGAGCTGTTTCCAAACACACACCAAAGTGTGGGGGAACCTGGGGAGAGGCACTGAGGGAGCCTGCATGGAGCCGGTGTGGTGTCTGGACTGTTCAAGTGACTGGCACATGGAACCATGATAGACGCATCAAGTCCCCAAAGCACCTTGTTCACCTGCTACGTGTGTGTGTGTGTGTGTGTGTGTGTGTGTGTGTGTGTGTGTGTGTGGTACTTGGGTATGTGGAGGCCCTGTCTGAAGGTCTGCAGAAGGCTGCTGAGGCCACAGACTACAGGGACAGTTCACCCTTGAGTGGAGCCCAGTTACTGGAGTATGGAAGCAGGGCTGACGCAACGATGCTGGTGACTGCGCAGTACAGGGAGGTCACAGAGGCCACGCCCCACCTTGAATATGGTGTAGTAGCCAGAGCGGGGTTGGGGGCTACAGGCCATGACAACACAAAGGCTGGGCTGAGAGTCCCCACAGGGATACAGGGCAAAGGACAGAGGGCACCACACTGGGAGGTCTTCCAATGCAGAATATTGGGCAAAGAATGAAGACAGGAACAGTAAGGACAAAAGTCTAAAACATCACCCATGGTTGAAGAGCTCCGCTCAGCACAAGCCTTCCCTCACACGCTCTCCCATACCTGCTCACTGCACAGGCAGGCAGAGGCCTGGCCACAGAGGGCGCGTGTACATATCTACAGCCGTTAGCCAAATGCGAGAGACCCACCAGGGTTCTGCTAATGACCTGGAAACACTGGACAAAACAGAAAGAATAAGATCTAAGGACAGACAGACACACCTGGAGCCTGGCTTGGCAATGATGCTGCCACAAAGCATCCCACGTCCACACGTGAATGCTCCAGCCATTCCAGGAGCCATCCGAGTGTGCAACAAGGCAGCCCCTCCGTGACCCTGCTTCCATCTGATGGTGGCTGTGGCTGTGCGGGGCATAATTAGCCAGAGTAACTTACGCTGGCGTGCCTGACTTACTCAAGGTGTAAGACTGAGTATTCTTTCAGCTCCATCTACTTGTTCTAATTTAACCCGCTGTGTTCCAATGGAATCTTGGGTGCTGAGATGTGTGTGGCGGTGGCGACAGGAGTAGACGAGCAGGGTTTGGGGGAGAAGTGGTATAAGGCTCAGTCTCACTAGGATGGAAACTAGGCACTCCAGGACAGACTTAACCAGCAATTTGTCTCCTACCAAAACCGACCATTGGCCCTCGAGGGCCACTCACCGAGCCGTTGACGCAGGGGACGTCATCGTAGTGCAGCGCTGTCCCGCTGGGGTGGGCATAGCCGTTGGAGATGCTCCCCAGGTAGGGGCTGGTGGACACTGCCCGCCTGTTCATAAAGCTGAGAGAGAAACGTGGACGTGTCAGTTCATCAGCAGGGTCTGGTGAAGCCTGATGCAACCAAAGGCTTGAAAGGCTCAGGGGCCGAACCCTTAGGGCCCTCGTGTCATCTTCGAGGGGCTAGGGTCAATCCTCACCCAGAGTGAAGACAGGCCCCAGCGCAAACTATAGACACCATGTATGGGCACACAGAAACACCTGCAAGTGAAGGGGCCAGTCACCACTGCATTCACCACGGCCTGGGAAAGCATACACCGAGAGGCCACAGCAGCTCTTTCTGGGGGCTGGGCCTCTCACAGCTGTAAGCCAGTTTCATCCTGTCTGCAGAGTCTGGCCTTCCAAAGGTAGGGGAGCACGGCCTACACTACTACCCGGCCTTCTTTGGGATGTCTGTGACTGTTCAACGAGCATTCACTGAGCTCTGGCAGCCACACACACGCCTTCAGCTGGTCCCTGGTCTCCCCTAATACCTTGGAATTTCCCAATGACAATGAGAGTCAGGCCACCTTTGCCAGTCACTGAGCTGCTCAGCATCCCTGGAAAGCCTGGTGGATTCTGGAATAGGAGTGCTGGTGGCTAAGGAAACAGCTAGTGTGAGGCTTTCAGCTCTGAGAGGACAGGGTGGAAGAGCATCTGGATTGGAGGCAGCAGGAAGTTGGTTCACCCAGGAAGAAGCTGAACCCAGGCAAGGTGTTCACTTCAGGAGTGTACTGTATCCAGGAAAAATGTTGCACCCCCGGAAGTCATGTACCCCAAAGGAGGCATGTACCCAAGGAGGTGCTAGATCCAGAGAGGGCACTGTACCCAGGGAGGAAGTAACAGCCCCTGTCTCCCACAGCTCACCTTCTGCCCCTCCTATCTGAGAGCGCCACACTGGTTCCTAACACACCTGTGACCTAACAACTGAGCCACTTCCTGAGGTCTAAGAAGGTCTGTGGTGTTGTGAGACCCCCAGGCTCGCATCTGTGCTGTAAGGAGAATGGGTGACTGGATTTGCGGAGGACATCTGAGACGGACAGAGTCCTGTGGACATAACTTTTGTTCTTCAGGGCGTGCCACTGTGTCCTGGTGGAGTTTCAGAACTGTCCTACAGCGGCCCCCTGTTGGAGTCCACAGAGAATGAGGGTGTCCCCTGGGGGGAGAGGAACCTGTGCCTGGTGGCCAGAAGTGGAGAACGCGAGTCTGCACAGGTTGAGAAAGGATAGTTTGCTTCTCCTCCCGCTCTTGTTTCCCAGAGAGCAAGGCCTGCTGCATACCACCCCTCCCTCAGCCTATTCTGTACCCGCCCCTCGCCTGCCTCTCCCCACTACACCACAAGCTTCTGGAGGGTTCTGCCACCCAACTCTGCAGAGCACAGAGAGGAGGGACAGGCTGAGGTCGCAGGAAGCTGGGCTTGTTTCAGGAACAACTGTGGAAACGCAGGAAGAAATGACCAAGGATAGCATTCGCTCCTAACTGGGAAAACTAAAATCGCATAAAGTTAACCAACAAATGCATCCCTCCCTCCCCCAACTTTGTTTCCCTGAAGAAAGTAGCCTGGGCAACACTGCCACCTGCGTGGCTCCGAACGCCCTAGCGGCCGCGCTCTCACAGTGCACTGCTGCCCCCTGCTGGAGGAATATGGCAAGCACGGCTCCTCCGGCAGATGCAGCAACTTAAGACTTCTTAGCTTATATAATTATTCTACACTCAATCTACGCCAAATCAAGTGGAGGAAAGTTAACCGCACAGGAAGGATAAAATGCAAGAAGGAAAGATTCACTCGCCACTTAGGAGTCACTGCCTGTTTCACACGCGCGTTGAAGGCATTGACTAAAAGACTCAGTTGAGGACTGTCTGGAGAGAGGTTGTGATAGATGGGAGAACGGCAGGACACCAAGTGTGCCTGCACCTGCTGGGGCGGAGCATGACCAGTGCTGAACGCTTGGTGCGGCACGTATGTGCACACAGCTCTTTCTTCTCCTCATAGCAGCTACTTCGTATTTACTCGGCAGCATCAGCTTCACACTTATGCACAGGTATCAGAAAGGATGGAGGACAGCCCACAGAACACAGGTCTCTAGCTGGGCACATTTCCACTTCCTTCAATGGAGATGCTCAAAGGATACAACACACACACACACACACACACACACACACACACACACACACACACA